GTGGACTGTAACTTCAGGTCCACAATTTGTAAGCAGTATTATGCATTGCTGTAATTTAGTGACCATCTTCTGAGAAGAGTTTTGGACACTTTTAGTAACACTTTACTGTGTTACATTGATATTGCTGCACTCCACTTCAACTTAAATCCAAAACAGATTCAGTCTCTGCAGAATAACAGACCTAAGAGCTAAACATGACTGGCTAATTATAAATGTGCTTCAAGATTCATTTTTACAAATGATTGCTCTTTTGCTGATATAGAAAAATATATGTTTATTTTGTAAAGAGAGTTAGAATAAATAGCACATTATAATACCCTACTTTTGGTATCAGTCTGTGCTGTAAGTGCCTAATGTTGGTGCTATTTTTAGATGGTCTATTCCTATCTTTGAATTGTGAAATGCTAACTTCCCAGCTAATGTATTGTCTCGTTTTGCAAAATTAAGGAAATAAAATACTGGTGTGGACTGACACATTTCCAAATAAAAGCTTTTAAAATTCATGCTAAACATACTTCTATACAGAATATATTCACCACTCAGTTAAATGTTTCCTTTAAAAAGTGGCAGAAAGACAGAGATAAACTATATCCTCACAGATTCCACATTCAACATCTTCTGAAAATCCCATGGTGACTAATTCTAATTGGCTATCAAGTAAAAAGATGGCTGGGTACCAGGTACACACTGGACACTTCCTGCTTGGGTCAAAGATTGCAAACATCCTGCACAGTGCTGAGTGAGTCTTTCATTTTTCATTAAAAAGGTGAATGTAATTTTCAGAGACAGCAACATTGTCAAGAGGATCCCAATTTGCAGATCTTTAAATTTATAGTCAATCCATTAAATCACCTCTGAAATTTGCCCTTCTACCTAAGAGCTTCTGAATGGATTATATTTTGTGGAATACTCAGTGGATTCCCTCTTAAACAGCTTTCATGTGACATTTTTTCCTCCTGGATTCTGAAGTGGCCTCAGTGTCCTTCAGTCTCAGTTTATGCTGTCCTTATGGCTGCTTCGATCTGTATTGTGGTTATTTAGTTCATGGTTTTTCCACTGAATGCTTGTTCCATTCATTGGCACTGAAGTCACTAGACTTTTGGATTGGTAGCAGCAACAGCAGAGACATGACTGGAAAGAAAAAAGATTCCAAATAACATAAATCTAGAAACTCTCTATAGAACTATATTCTGTCTTCAAATGTGTGCATGGGATTCCAAGTGAAGAAGTGGGAGCTGCACATAGGCAGAGTTTGGCCTTAAAAATGCAGGTGATTCTGTAATTGCCCATCTGTATGACACAAAATTAAGGCCTGACCTTACACTTCTTATTTAGGCAAAATTTTCACTTCACTAAATGAGAATTTTGCCTGAGTAAGGTGTGCAAGTTGAGATCCCACCACACTCCTCAAGTGTAATGCATTCCACTCTACAGCAGATGATCCCTTCCTGTCCTGCAAACTAAGGCAGTGTTCCAAGACAAGGTCTAGTAGTAGCAGACAGGCGGGGGTGAGGAAAACAAGAGATCCTCATCCTCTTTAGATTCTCATCCTTTCTTTCCCTCCTTCTTCATCCCTTCCACCCTCTAAGAAGCAGAGAGAGTAAGAGCAGGAGCAGACTTTTTTTTTTTTTTTTTTAGCCAGGAGAGTGGTGAGGATGGTGACTCAAGCCTATGATGCTGGATTCTGCACAGGCTGGGAGGCTCCATTACCTCTTTTGAAAAGTGCAGCAGCACAACCTGCTCCCTCAGGCTTTCTCCCCCCCTCTCATGGAAAACAAAGTCCGATCCTAGGCAGGTGGGATTCGTGACTCTGCTCCGGAGAGGGAAGGGGAATGGGGACTGGGATTCCAGCAGCAATAGCAGGACTAGTGACCTCTCTGGGACACAGCAGCAAAAGAGCTTTGCAGATAAGTCTAGCTCTGCCTAAGTTAACTGTATTGTGTATCTGTGGGTTGGGATGTAAAATAACGGTATTGATACTCAGGTAGGGGGATAACTTAATTGTAACATGGGAGGGTGGCCTGAATGTATTGTTTTTGGTATGGGAGATGTGGGGGTGGGTTACAGTGAGGGGATGAGAGGCATAAATTAATTGTATGACGGGGTGGAGGATGGCCTGAACTAATTGTACTGGGGCAGGCAGAGGGACTGAATTAATTATATTGGAGGCAGCCTGGGTAGGTCCAACTCTATTTCCAGCCCCAGTTCTCCAGGTATCCAATGAGAGGTCCAGGCAAAGATCCTTTCCACAAACCCACCAGTCCCCAAGCATCCTGGGCAGGGATTGCCCCCTCAGCCCCCCGCAATTTGTAACTGCTTGCAAACCTGGTTTTATTTCATTTATAAAGTGTGGAAATATCCAGGGCCAGCTCCAGGTATTTTGCCGCCCCAAGCAACAACAACAAAAAAAGCTGGAGTGCCGCCCCTTGAAAAGTGCCACCCAAAGGGCCGGAATGTCGCCCTCTTGAAGAGTGCCGCCCCAAGCACATGCTTGGAATGCTGGTGCCTAGAGCCGGCCCTGGAAATATTGTAAAAACCCCTCTAAATTAGTGCATGCAATGCTGAACAAAACACAGGTGTTCCACATTGTAACCATTTGTCACATGATTCATTGGCTTGTGTCACACATTGGCGGGTTTGCTTTCTTTCCTTTGCATATAATCCTAACAGCTAAGGAAACTATACATATTTTGAAGGGTCAGCTGGTTTCACAGTCCCCTCCCCCCCATTCTACTTCTTTCTACTCTGCTCTTCACTCTCATCTTCTCTCTCACTTTACTACTTTTGTTGTGAATGGATACTTTAGGAAGCACCAACAACAGCAATCTGGAGGTACAGTGTGATAAGTAAAGGAGGTTACTTTAGCCCTAAGTTTTCAGGTGTCCATTTTGAGTTCATGTGAAAAATGGACTATACAGCTGTCCAACAATTCTGAAAGCCATTCCACTTATTTAACTTCCAGAGTTTGGATTTAGTTTCCTAACTTTGGGCTTCCAAAGTTGCAAATTTGAGCCAAAGTGTGATTTCCTGATCACAGGCAGATTGGGATTTCTGCCAGACATATTCATTATTCTGAGTAGATGCTAATATTGGGAGAAATGTGATCAAATGAATTCCACTCCATGTATGCGCATTAAGTGGGTAGACAGTACCTAAGATGTACATGCATAGATCACTGAATGTTTGACTTGGTGGAGTTTGTCAAAATTCTATTATACTGGTTTAGTATTTACACTGCATGGATAGCTTCAGCTCTCAGTCTGGTATGTGTGCTATGTGACCTTCTAGCTAATAAATTAGATAACTTCATACCTTTACATGCTCTTCCTTAAACTTTATAAATACCTATATCATCATTAAGTACTTTAATGGAGCATGTCTGCAGGACAGCTACATAAAAATGTCTCATGCCAGAAGTCTTACCTGGAAACAGTTTTTAAACTTCTTGCTCACAAAATAGAGAGCTATGGGGTTTATACAAGAGTTCATGGTTGCCAGGTTAATGCTGATGTAATCCAGTGGCAACAAGAAACTAGGCAACAAAAGAGAAAGTAAAATAATTACAACTTTTTACACATTGTAAGGGCACAAGCATAGCACATGGATACTTTTCTCTGATGTATAGGCCAATTCTCTACGATCTATACTGATCTTCTTCTAGCACAGGCAATGTGTCAGCAAAGGCCTGTCTGAAATAACTAGTCAGACATTCCAGTTTGGAAAAATGAGAGGAAGGTGAACATAATGGCAATGGTCCAAATTCTGCTTTATTATGAAACCTCATTGGAATGGAATCCCCTAAAACTGAAGGATATAATGGAAGGATCAGAAAATGGAAGAGTCAGCACTTATAATCTTCTAGTGTCTGGCTCTGACAGGTTAAGTTACCAGTTCTCACAGCTGCATGAACAATCACATTAAACTCTAGGTAACATATCACCCTATATTTTTTCATTCTAAATGGTTGAGTAAGAAGATACAGTACCTGAGCAGTTCACATCTGTTAGGGTCCCTTTCATTGTATACCATTTTCTTCAAAATTCGGCTCAAATGGAGAGGAAACCAGCAAAGGGCAAAAATCACTACCAGACAGAAAACTGTCTTTGCAACTTCTCGACGCTGAAGGAAGAAAGCAAATAAAAAGATTACTGATACATGTCAGTCACATTGCTATATAAGGGCAGGGAAGTGATAGCAGCACAAAAATAGGCAGTCTAGATAAAAGCATGCACTTAAGATTGCTCATGCAAAACTCATGTTTATTCAGGAACAACTATTAAATTGAGGTGGAGCTTTTCATGAGCAGACTACAGGCTCAGGCCTTTACAGATGGTTTCACCTGAGTCTTGTCAATGCACATGTCCTGTCCAACAGGTGTGGGTGGGTTAGTGAAAGGAATTGTGTGTGTGTGTGGGGAGGGAGGGTGTTGAGAATATAGTTGTTGCCTTTGCAGCTACCACTGGAATATAACATGGAGGGTAAGCCAAAGTTGTTACAATTTTCAGCCACATTACTCCAGCTAATCTCCTAATATGACTTAATATTATTATTGCTTCTTTCTTTTAATAGCAGTTATCAAAATATGAAATCTGATGTAACTTTGACTTCTGTGCTAAGAATGGGGCTGCTGCAGCCAGGAGCACAATTAAGATTCAATGTGGAGGAGGCTGTGTGAGGAAGGGGAGAAAGTGAGAGAGCAAAAATGACAATTAAAAAGACACTTTTTTATAAACTGAGGCACAAATCCACCTTGGCTGGGCTTTGGAGATCACAGCAAGGGGAAAGTAGTGGGAGGAGTCCTCCCCACACACTTCTATTTCTAATGTTTGGAGTGTACTCTGGGGTCCTAAAGCCACCTGCCCCATGTGGGAAAGGACTGGAGCATCTGCATGGTGGAGGATTTAGTCTCTCCTTTGGCCCACCTGACTCTGGCTCTATTCCCTTTCAAGCACAGCTGTGGAGAGCACTCTCATAGAGTTCACTTTGTATTATGAATGGAGTAAAAACCCTAGGACTCACCCTTGTGCAGTGAGACTGCACAGGTACAGCCTTTAAAGGGTTATTCACAGCTGTAGACAGAGGGTCAGGATTTGAGGGGGTGAGGTAGCAATTGTAGCCTCCTTTCAGACCTTAATTGCAGGGACTTGGCTAAAGGTTTTAAAACCGCAGTCCAGAAGGTAATCTAGAAAAGAGCTGCAAACCAAGCAAAGTACGGTCTGATATTACTGTGAGTGACTTTGCACCGTAATCAGTGTTTACACTAGACTTCTTTTTGCCACTCATGGTTGCAATGATGGGAGCATCAATGTAAACAAGACATTGGTGTTTTTATCACTGTCTAAAACTGTTCAGAGTAGGTGTAGATGAGAGAGTGGCAAAAATGCTGATGGCTGCCCGAACCTTGTCTACACTAGTGCTCTTACTGTTTCTACCACCAGTACAACAAAGGGTGATTTCTCCAAAGAGTCTAGTTTAGACAAGGCCAAAGTGTTTATAACTAGGATGCATGATCTCTAGCTCTTTTCAAGAAATGTAAAGTATTCAGCTGTAGCTAAAGTGGAAAGGACCAGCAGAGCTTTATGTTTAGGGGTAAAAATTCAGAAAACATAAAGCTCTGCTGGTCCTTTCCACTTTAGCTACAGCTGAATACTTTACATTTCTTGAGAAGAGCTAGAGATCATTTTGCCAATTTTTGCCAAATCTTTGTAGCAGCATTCCAAGGAATTTAGCCAGTAGAGATTTTAAGGTTAAAGAGTGGGTGAGCAAGACTCTCACACTTTCTTAGGAAAGGAAATAAACACTGTTTAGGCTCTTGAACATACAGACTCCAATATCTACCTATTCTATAAATTACTCTTGTGTTCTGGGTTTGGTTGAATACCTCAAGGTCAGAAGTCACCAGTAGCCTCACTTTCTATTTCTGGAATTAATTTTATTAAAACCTGTTTTGAAATGTTTATAAACCAACTTGCAGACACAGCAGCAGTGTTTTCCTGACCTTGGATTCCCTAATATTTACCTGCTTAAGATGTTCGCTGAGGGCAATTCTCAAATTGCTGTTCCTTCTGTTTAACATTTCACAAGTCATTAGTGTGTAAAAGACAGCAGTACATGCTAGTGGCACACAGAAATAAAATCCAAACAGCCACCAATCCTTTGCGTTTTTGTAAAACTGAAGATGAGAGAAAAAAGAGAATGAATTCTCTCCAAATGCAATGCAACAGACAACAGATATATAACGGAACATGTGGTGGTTGATAGTGGTTCTTCTGAGCCTATTAAGTGGAGTGAACTTTGTGCATTCTTGTTCCTTCTAAGATGTGTTTGTGGTGGAGTAGGATTCTGACTGTTTGCAGAAGGCATCATCAAGACATTTCTCAGGGAACAAGATAAATATATCTAATTCCTACTCCTGATTTACCATCACTTGTTAATTAGCCCAAAGTTTTAAAGGGTTTGAATTAGTAATAAACCTGTAGTATAATCTCCATAATGGTGTGACTAAACTCATCCCTTATATGAAACTAAATAGTTATAAGGTGTTCTTTTACAAAGGTTTGCACCTAGCATATTATGCCCTTGATTACCATGCTATTTCTATATCTAATATAGAGGAATCAGGGAGATGACCTTTAGCCTTGAATACTTTATAAAGACAAAACAGGCATTTGGCAGCAGCATAAACATTTAATTTACCCTGGTGATAACCTGTCTATAACTTTGTTACAATCTGTCTTGGGTTGGAAATTGCTGCTTGAGAAAGTGCTTGCTGGGTATTTATGCTCATTCATGTAAACCAGTGCTCAACACCACACAACTGACTTGCCAAATTGAAACAAGCTGCAGGTTGACTCCTAAGTCCCAATAATAACACAAACACTAAACTGCATATTAAACCTCTAGGATAACAAGTCTTGATAAGAGCCTTTCTCAGCAAAAGTCATTTACCTTTTAAGGCTCCTGTAAACTGTTTTGGATTCCAAAATGGGCAGGTTAAAAATGTCTTGTAAGTGTAATCATCCTCAGCTATCAGTGGATAGATTACTAGTTGGTGTGCTTATGTAGTGGGCAGATAGAGGCCACTTAATGTGTGCTTGTCTGGAAAATGTGAAGCTTAGTACTGGCTGCTTCCAACGGCTTCAGCTGTCTGGTTAGTTTTAACCCTTTATTTACTTGGTACGTGCGCTATGTGACTTTCATGACAGGAAATCAGGCCCAACAATAACTTCCTAGTATTTTCCTATGTACAGTTAAACTGCTGATAGTGATTTAGGAGGCATATTACATTTGACAAAACATTTACAATTTTATTCCTCTGTTGGCAGCTATATTTGCACACTTGAGGACATGCTGTATTCTATTTTTCCTTTTTAAAGAAGAGCTGTTTTAATCACCAAAACTCTCCATTGAAATATGACATTTTAAATACTTCCTGTCTCTAGGTTATTAGTCACTGAGCTGGATGTGTGTAAAATGGGACCACCCCCTTCTTTCTCAAACACTTTCCCCTAGCTTGTTTATTCCTAACGGATGTGATCTTACTTGTAACATCACAGTTCCCGCACCAAAATATCAGATGTTAATAATGGAGGATTATGTGTCTCCTAACTACTGTAGAAAGATGTCAGAGGTCTGAGATCTTGTTTACGTATATTTCTGAATAGTGCTCAGCTTCTGAAAAGGAACAAAATCAAAGCTATACTCCAGATTAATTGATGTCCATTTAATGAGGTTGATTTTTTATGCACTCCATCAGTACAGCCATGGGTTACATGAGAGAAAACATAACTTACTAAGGAAAAGCTTTCTCTCTGCACAGGTGGAAGGAAAGGAGGGATCACTGGTCATACGTCTGATTCTGAAACCTTTATGCATGTTGACTATCACACAAATATTCCCATTGAAGCCAGTGCTTTCTTACTTAGTAAGAAAGTACTACTCAGGATAAGATTTTCAGAACTGGGCCCAATAGCACTTCTCCTCTAGAATGATTTTGGGTCTTAAGTAGGGTTTTAAAGCCCAGTGCACCCAATTTCCAATGGACCTCCCCACTAGCTAGGATATAACCAGGTCAAACTTCAGTGAACTTACTCCTTCTCCTGTTGCACAGATAAAGTCCAGAACTGAGATCTGAGAGGTGGTATTGGGAGGGAGGAGTAAAGGAGATAGTTCAGGAGGACGTCTCAGGGGAACAACTTTACATTCCACATGGGACTTCATAGGAGCACACCTAGAAAAGCCACTCAGGGCATATGATGAATCAGCACACACCCTTAGTGCATTGGCCAAACCCCCTCCCCAGCTGACTTTCTGAATTGTATTGGTTGGCTCTTTTCTCATCATCACCACGTGGAGGAGGGGGTGGGGGGCTCTTTGCATAGCTGTATTCTCTGTGGGCAGAAGTTCCACCACTAGGGATGCACAGCCTGGATTCTGGTAGCAGAAACCCAAAAGAGAGTCAAGCCTCACATTTTAAAATTTTTGCTGCCTGGGCTGGGCAGGTGGAGATTGCCATTTGCCACCTTGTTGGCAGAGAGACAAGGACTGAGAAGACACACACAGAGAGAATTATTTTCCCTGCTACAGGATGTTCCTCCAGATCATGCTTGAAGCATCTTGGTAGGGGAATGTAGGGAAACTTGCATTGCTGTTACCCATGGTGGACCTGTTCTGTGCTGAAAAGGAACACCTCACTTTCTAAAACTCCCATGAGGACTACATGAGTGTGATAAAGAAAAGTTCAAATGAACAACAAAAAATACACCCACAACCTTGACCAACTTGTACACTCTGTATGCAGCACTTACTTATTGACATGTCCAAGTTATAAAACCTACAGCAAGATGTCTGTAAATGATTAATTAAGGAATCTGAGTTGCAAGAAGCTTACATCAAAGTACAAAACTGGGCTGATTTAAGAGAAATAGGCATCCTTTTGTTTGCCTTGTAAGTCCACATGGAACTAGTTTTCTACAGGAAATGTGCATTTTAAACATGTTTCCTAATGCTCTCAGCCTCCTGGGATTCATGTCCTCACATGAGTCGTTCAAGTCTTTCAAAGGATAATGCTTTAAGGTCAGATTTACTTTTATTAGCTGTGGCTGACTATGGGGACTCATGACTAAAACTGAAGTTCCCTATCCTAGTTAATCTACTTTTGTATGAGTCTCAAACTTTAATGGATAAATAAAGCTTTGTTTCACTCTTCAGTCCGACATCTTGCAAGAGTCTATATTCTAAACTGTTGACTGCAAAAGAAGGAACTTTGATTACTTGAATATTATACATACCATCATAAACTTGTTTGTAGCATTGAGCATGCAGGTAATATGATTTTCATCTTTGTATTTGAAAGATATCATGACAAAACCGATTGCTTCTGGAATAGCCAGTATAAAGGAGAGAATCCAAATGGAGAAAATTTCAATAGCAGTGATCATGGGGATACCAATTCCCTGAACACGACTCCAGGAGGCAACTGCTCTGTACCTAAAATAAAGAGATAAGCATGACATTCCAACCTATTTTCTTTATTAAGATCTAGAGCTCTTGGGTTGTCTTAACATATCAGGGATGGTTCTAGATTCCTTAAACTCCCTCAGTGTGGCAGCCTTAGATCTGTGTTACCTATGTGATAACAGAGGACCCTACTCATCCAGGAAACCTACCACCCATAATGCCACCAGCAGCATTGTGGAACAGATCAGGAGGCTGGCGGTAGACAGCTGGATGCAAATATTTACATAGGGCAGCACTGTATCTGCAGGCAGTTAACTAATATTTTATACCCAGAGTAGGGTTGTCAATCTTCCTAGACTAAAATACTGAAAAAAACCCCAAAACAAAACCAATCACAAGCAGGAAAACATGTGTGTTTTGTTTACTCGGCTTAAAGTGCAATCTTCCATTTATTTTAAATGCTAAAAATACCGGATTTTATAGTATGGGGCAATTTCTAGCCTGGCCTCAGAATACAAATAGTAAGGGTGCTAGATAGTGCTATTGACAGCATATCAATTCAGTCTCAGTACCTACATCACTTTTCCTATGAGAAACTGAAGCACAGGGTAAGAAAGTCTGAAAATAAAATCCATGCTAAAAACAGTACACTTTTTTCCATAACGTTATCCATTTAAAAATAAAGAGGTTACCAGTACTTTTCAGAAACAGGCTGTGGTTCTCTGGCAGCAACAGTATATTGTCCCCCTGTAATAATCTAAAGTGGCCTGGTGGGCAGAATTCTTTAATCTATTCAGTTCCACTTTGCAAACTGTTTATGCTTAATTTGTTTGTTTACTTCCCCAAAATAGTAATAAATAAATATAGTATAGTAATTCCAGATGGGGAGGTATAGGTTTATCATATTGTCTGTTGAAGAAGTATTTTTTTGAAGTTTGGAAAACAAAATAGGAATCCTAGAAATACTGTCCAACTCCTTACACAATAGTTATGTACAATATGAATATGGGCCCATTGAAACAGTAAAAATACCAATGGGAGATGTTGTTAGTCATTGTAGGGCCTGGTGGAAGTTCCATGTACAATCTCATTAATGTGATGGTGGACTTATGAATTCAGTATCATACAGCAAGGATGTTTGGGAAATAGACTGAATCAATGGATGCAGGATTGGGCCCTTACTCTCAGAGGAAAACTATTGGATGGCAGGACTGTAGAATAATAGCAGAGAATATAAAAGTGGAAGGTGCAAAGTGCTCAGTTTTTCATCACTTTAATAGTATACAGACTAGACTATCTCTCTCTGGTGTATACTACAGGCTCATACAGCATACTTGCAAGACATGCTGGGGAAAGGCTCTTAGTCTTAAGTTATATAAGCTCTTCAAGATATTAAAACAACGTAGGCCATTTTAGACTTGCAGGGGGGGAAACAAAGGAAAAACTCAAAAAAACCTTATTTGAAATGTATTCCTATGCTCTGAGAATGCCCTAAGAGTTTAGGTGATTGCTCAGTCCCTGGAGGGCATATGAGACAAAGCTATAAGATCATCTAACTGGGCAAACTGTATTTGAATGATTTAGGAAATTACCCTCGGTAACAGAGCTGACTGAATAGCCAAAGAAATTTTGCCATAATATTTATACACTTTCAAAATCAAGTTTGTTTGATCATATCTTTGACCCTTTTCAGTGTTGCTTTGTGAAAAAATTTCAAGTGCTTGAATTTTATTAGCAGGAATATCCATAGAAGGATCATTTCAGCACATGTACATGAATATTAATAGAAACTGAACTTAGAATTGTATGTTTGTAAAATTCTCATTCAGTTACACAAGTCATGTGATATTATTTCAGTTCCCCAATTGGATTATATATATAACTAATACTGTGTGTAACTGTGAACTGCAAATTACAGTCAAATACACTATCTGAAGTTCGTGCTGTTAGTTACTCATGTGTAACTTTTGTAATTGAGTGAATTGCAAGTTGTGAACCTGATTCTCTACTTCCCTACACTTTGTGCAGTCATTTACACTTGTGCAAAGTAAACTATTATTCAGAATTGGTCATGTTTTACAACCTTTTTGCACAGCTGTAAATCACTATACAAGAGGGAGGGCAGTGGAGAATTGGGTCCTGCATATTCAGTTGTGATTTTTGCAGCTCACAATTCAAATGACTCATCAGACCAAGAATTATTTATTGAATTTGAATAATTTCAAATAAAGAATAAATTTAATAATTTGATTATCAGAATTTGTTGAATACATTTTCATACAGAAATTATATGGTCAGCTGTACTCAATTGGTACAAAGATAACTTCAGTAAAATAGTGTACTGTAATTTTACAAGTGTGTGTACTGTGAACTATTTAATACAAAGGATCTTTGTCTAGCCCCCAACGGCCTATAATTAGGAGTGTGAAAATGTTGCAGAGTTTTATTCCTTCAAACTTACAGAAATATAGTATGTATATCAGGGAAGTATAATAAAACAAAGGAGCATAATACATTGCATTCAATTCCCCAACCTAAAAGCCATGTGTGTGTTTTCTGATTTTTCATTTTCTTTTGTTTTTATTTTCCTTTTCTTGCCATCAATGTCTAACACATTCTATTCATCTCCAGATTGTTTTCTTTTCTCTTTTTCTGCATTTGTTATTCTCTCTATTCTTTGAAAAGCTCCGTCTTCTTTCTTTTCAATCTTTAGCTTTCCTATTATGTTGTTTACCCACTTGCTTGCTCCTATATCATATTGTGTCCATCCCTTGCTGTCCTTCTCCTGTTCTCTCTGCTTTCTTTTACTCTATACAGTCTTAATTATTTATCCTCACTTGGTCTTCATTGCCTGTAACTAGTCCTCCCTACTATTTGGCATGAATATAACGCTTTTAGATTCATAGAGTTTAAGACCACAAGGAACCATTCAATCATCTAGTCCAGGGATGGGTAAACTATGGCCCAGGGGCTGCATCCGGCCCTTCAGACATCCGGCCCTTGAGCTCCTGCTGAGGAGCAGGGTCCAGGGCTTGCCCCACTCTGCGTGTGCTGTGGCTCCACGTGGCTCCCAGAAGTAGCGGCATGTCCCCCCTCCAGCTCCTATGCATAGGGGCAACCAGGGGGCTCCGCACACCACCCCTGCCCCAAACCCCCGCAGCTCCCATTGGCCTGGCTACCCCTCTGTGTAGGAGCCGGAGCGGGGACATGCCACTGCCTCCGGAAGCTGCTTGAGGTAAGCACCGCCCAGAGCCTGCACCTCTGGCCCCCTCCCGTGCCCACCCCTGGTCTAGTCTGATCTTCTGTATATAACAGACCTTTAAATATTACCCAGGCAGTGTTCCCTCTAATTTTTCCCACACGTGTGGAATGAATTTTGTTATGTGCACCAGTATGGAGGTGATGTGTGACATATCACCTTTATATTGGTGCACATAACAAAATTCATGGGGCAGGTGTGGGGCTGAGGGGTTCAGAGTGTGGGTGGAGGCTCAGGGCTCTCCCCGCCATGGCAGCTCTGGGGCTGGGGCCGCGGGATAGGCGCTTCCTCCCCTGGCCATGTCAGGTCTGGGCCAGGATTGGGTTTGGGCCGCCCCTCCCCCGGCCACAGCAGGTCCTGACTGGGTGGTTTCCCTGAGCGCCTGCGTGGCACTTAATAGCCTTCTGCACAGCTGCGCAGCCGCACAGCTTACAGGGAACTTAGCTGGGTACCCCTGCATTGAGCCCAATAGTTTGTGTTTGGGTAAAGTATTTGCTCCAAAAAAAGCATCCCGTCTTGATTTGCAGACATCAGGAGATGGAGAATCCACCACTATCCTTGGCAGGTTGTTCCAATGGTTAATCACCCTCACTGTTAAAAATGCTTGCCTTATTTCTGATTGGAATTTGCCTCACTTCATCTTCCAGCCATTGGTTCTTATGCCTTCCTCCACTAGAATGAAGAGCACTTTAGTATCCGGTATTTTCTTCCTGCAGAGGTACTTATACACTGTAATCAAGTCATTCTCAATTTTCTGTTTGATAAACTGAACCGACAGAGGTTTTTAAGTGTCTCAGTGGAAGGCTTTTCCCCCAGGCTTTGAATTATTTTTGTGGGTTTTTCCTGCACCCTCTCCAATTTTTTGAAATGTGGACATCAGAACTGTATGCAGTATTCCCGTATCGGTCTCACCAATGCTGAATACAGAGGTAAAATCATCTATCTGCTCCTACTCACTACTCCCCTGTTTATATAGAGGTTAACAAACATTATGTAATCCCTATAGTAGTAAAGTACTACCATCCCCATTTTACAGAAGGGGAAACTAATGCAGAAAGGGGAAGTGATTTGACCAAGGACAAAGAACGAGTTATTGTCAGAATCAAATTTAGAGTACAAATAATCCCTTGCTTTCATTCCTATGCTAACTCCACTAAACCACCCTGGTTCTCCTGCTATTGATCTGTTCTTTTTGGGAAGAGATTACAGTGACTGCTCACTAGAAAAGCCAGCTCAGCTGCAGCCAGCTGGGTGGTGGCTGGGAGGATATTTATGGCGACCACTCAATGCTGTGGTTTATTGGCATGATCTTACCCATCTGTATAGATACTGAAAACTGGGCTACCAGGTGAAAGCATATAACCTGGAGTGAGTTCCACACAGTACAGTATGCAACAAAGGCTAAATGAGACCTTACACATACGGGATAAGATCCTTACCTTTACTTTTCACCTTACAATCATTGTCTGGGACATGAGCAAGAGTAAAAAACTCAGTGGGGAAAAAAAAACCCTTAGTGACCTAAGTTTTCCCAACATTAGGCAGTACTGTAGACATAGCCTTAGTCACAGTCAGGCACTGTTTAGAAAAGACTCTGACTGTAGTCATCACCATGAACCAGAGTTTAAAAATGCCTGACAGGGATTTGCAACAAATGTGCATTTCCTTTAAAGGGTAAACGGCTGGTGTGGCACTGTCTGTCAGCCTCTAAGGGCTTGTCTATACTTATGCGCTGGTTCGGCGGCAGGCAATCGAACTTCTGGGTTCAATTTATCGCATCTTGTCTGGACGTGATAAATCGAACCCAGAAGTGCTCGCCGTCGACTCCGGTAATCCTGCTCGGCGAGAGGAGTACGCGGAGTCGACGTGGGAGCCTGCATGCCGCGTCTGGACCGCGGTAAGTTCGAACTAAGGTACGTCGACTTCAGCTACGTTATTCACGTAGCTGAAGTTGCGTATCTTAGTTCGAATTGGGGGGTTAGTGTAGACCAGGCCTAAAAACCTTCTCCACATGTGAACAGCATTGTTCCCCTGGGCATAAACAGTTAAACCTTAGTACACCATCCATGCAGGCCAGTTTCTGTGTGGGCATGGGTAATGGGCAGGGTTTCATAATAGACAGATATAGTTAAAGGCAGGGACAATCCTTGCAAAAAGGAGCAAACTTAAGGTTCCTAAATCAGGGTTAACATCCACAAAAGATGATTAGAGGAGCAACAGTGACCAAAGATGTGGAACACTGGGTTTTTCTGATTAAGTTCTGCCATTTGAAGTCAAGGATGTATGTGTAATTGACACCAACTGTGGGGCTTGAGGCATAAAACAAAGCTGTTTTATTAATGACCATGTATAACTTTTCCAGATATTTAATTACCTATTTCTCTAGAGAAGTAGTAGTTAAAGCAGCAATGCTTTGTCTTGGCTTCCCTTTCAGATAGAATTTCGCTGGAGTTTGAATCAGTATTCAGACTTCTTTTCCAGTAAGATCTCAGATTTATTTTGTATTTTAACAAGGCTTTTAATATGACAAAAGAGGTTGGAGGGTTTTTTTTTAGCTTGTTACCTATGAAAAATAAGAATGATTCTTGTTTTGGTAATTTACAGGGCTAATTGGTCATATTTTACTGGAATATATTCATTTAGCTTGCTATGTGGTTTCAACAATTCTAAAATTCTTTCTGCTGCTAACACTAATTTGGAAGTTCATAACAAACAACCCATGATCCGTTTTTACATATAAATTTGTTATTTTGAATGACAAAAGATGTCCAATCATCTTTGATAGCAAGATGATAATAGTTATCATGTTTATGAATACTGTTATTTTACTCCCAACCCATGTTTCTGTGCTTTGCACAATAAGACCAATTAATTTGGCAATAACAAATGAAACTTTTACTTATGTAACACATACTTATTTTGTTCTCTGCTTTACTTTCTCAAGTTCTAGTTGAAAATGTTGATAACTTTGATACACAATTTGTCCACAAATATAAGAAATGATGTGTTAATGCAGTGATGCCAAGCTTAAAGCAGCACTTCCAAAAACTATGTTGGCTTAGTTTTGCACCATGGAAAACAAGATGCACAATTAAAAAATTTACATAATTCACAATCAGCATGGGTAACTTAGTAGTATCTGTATCTGAAGTGGAACATAACATTGCGCTATTACCTCATATTTCTTTAACTGCACCCCAAAACTGAAAAACTTAAAACTCCATCCAAATACTGGGTCTGAGCACTGGAAAAATAATTTTATCTCCCAAAAGATGTGGGAATGATATTTGCTTCAGTGTAAAACTTTGAAGTAGAAATGTGAGATCGTGAGAGAGTGCTCTAAGGAACAGATCCTACATCAACAACATATGTGGAATGTATAGTTTATGGGATAAATTCATAGATTCATAGATTCTAGGACTGGAAGGGACCTCGAGAGGTCATCGAGTCCAGTCCCCTGCTCTCATGGCAGGACCAAATACTGTCTGACCAGTGCAATCCCACTGGGCCCTATGCTACTCTCACTAATACTGCAGTAAATTGGGAGTAACTCCATTGTAGTTAATTATCACATATATAATACTTTACAAACATTAACTAATTAATCACCAAAACAACCCTATGCTATTTCCATTGAAGTATAAAGCTAGTGTGGGATTAGAATCAGTACTGTAACTCCTTGCTTAACGTTGTAGTTATGTTCCTGAAAAATGCGACTTTAAGCGAAACGATGTTAAGAGAATACAATTTCCCCATAAGAATTAATGTAAATTGGGGGGTTAGGTTCCAGGGAAATTTTTTTCACCAGACAAAAGACTATATTATATATATATATATATATATATATACACACACACACACACACACGGTATAAGTTTTAAACAAACAATTTAGTACTGTACACAGAAATGATGATTGTGAAGCTTGGTTGGGGTGGTGAAGTAGGAGGGTGGAAGAGGGTGGGATATTTTCCAGGGAATGCCTTACTGCTAAATCTAGCACTCGGCTGAGCCCTCAAGGGTTAACACATTGTTGTTAATGTAGCCTCATACTCTACAAGGCAGCACAAATGGAGGGAGGGGAGACAGCATGGCAGACAGACACACCCCCTGTGTGTGAGAGAGAGATGCGCATTACCCCTTTAAGTATGCTGACCCCACTCTAAGTACATTGCCTTTTTAAGTAGATCAGCAAGTTGAGCCCTGTCGTGTCCTCCCCCTGCTTTATGGAGATGGGGCATGGGGGGGCAGGAGCAGAGGGGAGGGGGACACCCTGATATTAGCCCCCTTTTGTCCCCCCCGCACAGCAAGCAGGAGGCTCCCGGGAGCAGCTCCAAGGCAGAGAGCAGGAGCAGCACATGGCAGTGGGGGAAGGGACAGCTGAACTGCCAGCAATTGATAGCTTGCTGGGTGGCTGCTGCACAGGGAACTTAGGGGAGATGGGAGCTGATAGGGGGGCTGCTGGTCCACCCTGGTTCCAAGCCCCCACCAGCTAGCTCCAACGGGCTGCTCTTTCTGCAAGCAGTGGACAAAGCAGGTGGCTGCCAAACAACGTTATAAAGGAGCATTGCACAACTTTAAACGAGCATGTTCTCTAATTGATCAGCAAGGAAACGACGTTAACCGGGATGACTTTAAGGGCTGGTCCACACTGGGGCGGGGGATCGATATAGGAAACGCAACTTCAGCTACGAGAATAGCGTAGCTGAAGTCGACGTTTCCTATATCAAACTAAATGTACTTACTTCGGGTCCACGTGGCGCAGGCAGGCTCCCCCGTCGACAGCGCTTCCTCCTCTCGGCGAGCAGGAGTTCCGCAGTCGACGGGGGAGCGCTTCTGGGATCGATCTATCGCGTCCAGATGAGACGCGATAAATCGATCCCAGAAGATCAATCTCTACCCGCCAAATTAGGCGGGTAGTGTGGACCAGCCCTAAGTGAGGAGTTACTGTATCTTGTTAGTTCTCAACACTTAACATTCCTCACAAGGGTATTGTTATCCCCATTTTATATGCTTTGCCAAGGATACATTATTTAGCACCTCACACTACTATAGTAAATATTTGCAGGGAATATGTTGGGGGCAAACAGACATGTAAGGTCAGATTCAAATTTCAGTTGCACCAGAGTAAATCTCAATTAACCCCAGTGAAATCAGGAACTGACCCAGAGAGGTTAATACCAAAATTTTCAAATGAGGGTGTCTAAAGTTAAATACTTACATAAAAGTGACCTGAGTTTCAGAGATGCACTCGGATCTCCCACTGACTTCAACACGTTTGAAAATCAAGCCCACTTTATTTAAGTCAATAGGACATCTACTGACATCAGTAGGAGCACTGGATGCTCTTTGAGTGCACCCCTAAAAATAAGGACACTTTTATTTGGGGACCTACATATGGATGTAGATTCTTGATCTTAGGCATTCAGGTTTGAAAATTTGGGCATGAGTGATTTGTCCATGGCTACAAAGGAAGTAAGCGCCAGCCAGGATTAGAACACAGAGATTCTTTGGCCCCTGTGCTGTGCTTTTAGATCATTGCCCACAATGACTTGCGCCTAGAAAGCTATTTGTCCTTTGAGTGAGGAAAAATAGGGATTTTAGTACATACATTTTCAAAAAAGACTAAAACTTGCCATACAACAAATCCTAACAGTAAAACTGAATCCTATATGTTTTTGAGAGTCTGAACAATATGCACTGTTAAGATATGCACTTATACCTGTGGTATAAGGCTCTCAGTTCTAGAACAAGCACAAGTGAGAGGTCTCAAAGAAGAGGTCCAACAAAAGGATGAGAGATACTATACCTGTCCACACTAAGGGCACAGAGATTGAGGACTGTGATGCCCACTGATGCCTTCTGTATAAAGGGGAGGAATTTGCAAAGAAACAGCCCGAAATCAGAATCCTCAAATGGCCACCGCTGAGCATGAAGCTAAAGAAAGGACATAAGATAATCAGAAACTTTGAATGATAATGTAGACTGTGAATATGTAACAAACTGTAATCATGACCTATCTTCGGATCCAGCCCTAACAGCCCCAAATTCTTCATGTTTAAGCAATTCTCTTGGTAATGAATGAAACTGGGAGGTAATTCTGCTGCCGTAGAAACATGGAGGAATTAAGGAGAGTGTTTAAACATAAGCAGTGGGAGGATGTATTGATCCTCTCCAACTGAGGTAGTAACAGTTTCACTGTTAAAGGAGCCTTTCCTAAAATGCTTCAGCCACTGTTATGCACACAGAAAATCAAAGTCAACCCTACCCTGGCATCAGGGCCGGCTTTAGGACCTGCAGGGCCCGATTCGAATACCCGGCAGTGGTCCCGGTCCTCGGCGGCACTTTGGCGGCGGGGGGTCCGCTCCGCGTCTTCCGTGGCACTGAAGGACCCCCCCGCCGCTGAAATGCTGCTGAAGACCCAGAGCAGACCCCCGCCACCGAAGTGCCGCCGAAGACCCGGAGCGGAGCGCCGCCGGGTGAGTAAAAAAAATTTTAAATTTAAAAAGGCGCCTAAGGCGCGGGATCCTCTTAGGCGAGGCCCGATTCCAGGGAATCGGTGGAATCGGCCTAAAGCCGGCCCTGCCTGGCATAAGCTGGACCAAACCCCATGTGTCTGCTTTCACCAGGGCTGAATTTGGCCCAGAGTCTAGCATTCAAGGCATGACTCACACCTCATAATGGGACACTTAAGAGCCTAATTCTCATTGTTGCACACAAACAGATTCTTATCATTGTAAAAGTTTTGGATGCTGGATTATGAAACCTGTGGAAAGATTATTATTACATGTATACAATTTGTACCATGTTATATTTTAAAGGGCAGGCATCCCCCAGGTGGGCTGTGGTAGGTGACAATAGACAGGCAGTTGTAAGTGAGTATATGCATGAGTGGCAGCAGTTTGGACTAACATTTCTCTCCCCTAGGATGTATCAACATAACAAATGTGAATAAATTGATTCTGTGCATAATTAGGGAACCAACAGTAATCTCCATCCCAGCTGTCAGTTATGCTTTGAACAAGTAAAGATGCTTACAAAGCTTTGCTCCTTGTATTACTCACACTTTTTTTCACATCTATGAAATAGGTTATAGAACTCAAAACCTTATATGTAAAATTGAAACACAATGCATCTGAGCCTGGGATGAGATTCAGTCAATGTCCTGAAGTCTGCATAACATCATTTTTTGAAGGAAGTACAGAATAATAACAATACGTTCATTTTTTTATTTATACCCAGTCTTACTGACCAAAGGCATGGAACACAACGCATTTGCATGACACTCTGCAAGTGGTAATCACAAATGTCTTCCATTTGTTTCAGGGGAAGGTGGGAAGTAATACCCAGTTACTTTAGAGAGTTGGAGAGACTATGCTGAATTTCTCGTTGTGCATTACTTAATTAACAGCAACGATGGGCCCAACCAGCCTCCTTGGGTCCTAATCCTCTGAACACTTGAGGAAGTTCAGATCCAGATCTAGATCTTAATTTTGTGGATGGCTGAATTAAACCCTGAAATTTGAATATCCCCAAGTTTCACCTCAGGAAAGAGTAGTCCCTGCACTGGTGCTTTTTTTCCTCTCTGCACACCAGCACCCAGGTCAGGCACAATCTGACCAAAAACCTTAAATCAGACCAGCCTTGTTCTAAACACTGGCCAATCACAGTGTGAACTGGTGCCGAATTAGAATTGATAATGAAACCACATGAGTTTCATGACATTTGGGTTTTGCTGTGTACATTTCCTACACATCTGCTAAGCACACACAATATTATTTTCAAATGTCAACGTAATAGCCTAGAGATACAACTGTGGCATTTCCAATCAAAAATTTGTGGTACGTCATAGTCCGGCTGCCACTGAGCAAGGGCACAATGGTGAAAGGTGGGAGCAAGGAGTCATCCTTTTCCCTTGTACAGCTACACAAGAATCAGTTGGAATCGCGGTGCTTTTGCCTTTTGAATACAAAAGGAAAAGTGAGTGTTAGTGGGTCTGTACTCCATTATTGCTGCAGTAGGCTTAAAAGTCATGGAATAATCTTGTATATTAACTCTGCTACTAAGAAAGCTACAAGGTGAGGTCTTTGGTATAATGTCTCAAGGAGCCTCTCAAGATAAAATCACTCAGAGAAAAAAACTATATAACATCTTTTCTGATTGTGTTTGTAGAATTGGAATAGATCTGATTCTCTTCAATTCCCAGCAGAGCCTTTGGGCCTTTTTCTCCTCTCTCTTATGCTGGTTTTACATCATTATAACTCAGTGGAATTACTCTGATTGCATTGGTACAAATAGTGGCAGAATGAGACTTCATCCCTGTAAACTGATACTGCCCATCTGTACAACAGCCCACCGTCTGAGTGCTAGCTTGAGTTTGCTTGTTTTTAGATTACAAAAATCTTGAGTTTATTTCCACAAATTCTCTTCCCCACCCCTTCCTTTCTATTTTCAGCCTGAAATCTGGGGAAAGAGAAGATCTTGGACACTTCCCAGCCAGCATCTTTCCTCACGTGAGCTCCAAACAGAACTCTGGTCACTGTGGAGGTCAGGGAACTTTTCCCAACCCTTATTGTTTATTACTGGACACCATAAAGGCATCTATTCCTGAAGTGCTTTTATACCGAGATTGGCTCCTCAGGTAAATCTAATTCAGAGCTTTGACAATCAGATGGTCCATAAACATGTGTCCTCTTGTTTCCTGACTGAAGCCCAGACAAATGATTACTCTGTGGTATTAGTTGGTTTTCAGTCATTTGTCAGTGCATAATTGTTTGTTATGGGGTTTCTTGCACCTTCCTTTGAAGCATCTGGCTATGACAGGATCCTGGAATAAACTGGACAACAGGGTTTGATCTGTTATGGCAATTCCTATTGTTCTCAGCCAATTCCAAACATCTCTCCCTTACACTACTTTGTTGCTAAAGCTTTTTATCTTTGGAGATATTTTGAAAATCTGTCTCTTCTGTCTGTGCACTTTGGTTTCCAGGCCATCAATTCTTCTATCCACCTTGATTATATGGTTAGTAATTTGGACTGTAATTTTTTCAAGATTACATTCCAGAATCCACATATGATGTGGATGACCATCAATGTTGGTAAAGGGAAGGTGTGTAGTAGCAGTTTTGAGCACAGGACTGAGAATCATGACTACTTAGTTCTATTCCCAGCTCTGCCCCTGACTGCTGTGTAAATTGGGCAAGTCACTGCATGTCTCCGTGCCTCAGTTTACCGACCTTTAAAATAATGCTTACTTACCAGGTTTGTTGTGCAATGTTTTCAATTTACTTTGAGTGCAAAAGCATTACTAATGTTATCAGTACTAAATAATTGAACCTATGGATTTGACCCTAAAGAGATTAAAATGAAGATTATCTTTGTAACTGGGCTAGTGCCAATGCTGTGCTGAGTGTCAAGTTGGCCTAAATTCGTTTGTCTAGGCTCCTGTTTTCTTTGGTGTCTGTGGCATTTAATTGAATTCAAAAAAGGAAGTTTCCATTATTCATTTTCATGTAATCCAATACAAATTGGTACAAAGTTGCTTGTTGTTTTGATATTGAATTTAATTAATTTTATTTTGCCCCTGCCGTTTTCATTTTTCCATGTTTTGCAGCTTGTTGTAGTAGCATTCTATAACTGCATTTTAGAAGCTGGATAACAAGTGGGCGGGGGAAGCTCAAAGTTTTGATAATTGGAAGTTTTACTACCTGGGAAACGCAGGAGGCAGCTTAATATATTGGGATAAGCATATTAGCTGAATGTTTTTTCTAATATAATAAGCAGTAAAGTAGTTAATAATGTTGACAATCAATGTCGTTAGGTTTCAGAGTCAACACCCAGTTTATGTTTTGGGCTATCTGCCTACTTGAATAGACTCTACTGCTTTGGCAAATAGTAAGTTCATATTCTGAAAGTTATCTTTGCAGACATAAGCTTTTTTTCTAAATGAAAGCTTAGACTTTCACTTGCTATTATACTAAGGGCATGATTCTACAAGGCACTGAGCACTTCACCTTCCCCAGGAAATGCTCAGCACTTTCAGGTGTGATCTGTAAAGCAGTACACTTGTATTTAACCAAACCATAGCAGACAAAATGCTGTCAGCTTTCCAGTGGTTTCCCACTTTGATGAAAACATACACCCTACGTACCAACTTCTGATATCCTAACTAGGATTTGTGCTTGAACCATTGTAAATAATAATGAATGATAGGATGGAGTTTCACCAGCAAGTTATTGACCAGTTCCTCTGATTCTAGCTGAACTTATAGACTGTATTTAACAAACTACAAGCTCCAGTTTTGCAAAGGGATCATCATGTGCACAAGAAACACACTCTACCTACATTCCCATCTATTAAACAGGGAGGAGTGGAGACTGGCTCCCACTCGTTATACTCCGAGTAACCCAATTAACTTCTTGATGACCACTTTAGTACAGCCAGCAAGAATCTATTCTATATGGACTGGCTGTACTCTAACAAATATTTGCCAGGTATATATTTGCTTTTTCTCAATAACTCTTCTCTTGGCTGAGGCCTTCAATTCATTTCAGAGGCCACAGAATAGCTGTCAGAGATGGAAGGGCCTAATCTGTAAGATTTCGATTTCCAATGCCCCACAAGATAATTGCCCAGCCAGTTATGGAAACATGGCTCCAGCTGCGAAATTCAGATCTAGGTTTTGATTCCAGACTGTCAGTGTTTGGATCTGGGCCAAATAACTATTGCTTTCACTTCCTACTGCTGAAGGTAGGATTTGAAGTGGCACTGTCAAGGGGAAAGGCTTGGCATGCTGTTATCAATCCCCTTAGCCATCCAAACATTTATGTACCATTATAGTTAACATTTAAGAGTTAGTAGAAAGAAAGTCAGTTGTTCTTTTATTTGCACCATATATGGTCCCAGCATATTTCAAGTAATGGAAACGAATGTGCACT